CCTCCACCAGCGACAAGTAGCGGCTTAACGCGGCCTCGTCACTCACACGCAACGGGGTCTTAGGCCCCACTACAGCTATAGACACATTCTGGAAAACAAATTAAATCCATGATGAAGAAACTTTACTCGGGCAAACTAAGCATTTCAACACTTATGTCATTGAAAGAAAATTTTAAACTTACAATATAACTTAGAACTTAAGACATACAAGAATCAATTACATATCGAATATATGCATAAGCTATACTATTATAATAAAGCGTAAACACTCACTTCTTTGTTGACTAAGATCTCAGCAATTACAGCATAATTTTGAATAATTTCTTTATTAATTAAAAGCCCTACACTTGCGTCACACTTTAGGCTATATGTTTTCACGTCATTAAACTTAGGGGTAAATATTTTGGATAAAAACCCTAATGTGGGAAAGAGACCATAAGTTGCTGCCAACATCAAGGAAGCAATTGTCATTTATGCATTTGAATTTTCACATTTCATGCGGATGAAGCCGCACTGGAACAGCTAGTTCTACATAAAATATAACTATATAGTTTCTAAAAAAATATGCAGTTTTTTTCGCTCCTGAAATGTTGCTATTTTTGATATCTGTGGTATCAGAACTTCAACAACGAAATTTAAAATCAAAAGTTTATAAATCAACAAGAAATTAATTTACCTTAGTATTTAGTTCTACTTCATTAGGCAGAGTATCCCTCAATGCTCTCAATCCGTGAGCCACAAGTTCTTGGAGATCGCAGTCCATGAATGTATTAAGATGCTTCTCTAAGTAAGTTCTGGCCGACTGTGACCGAGCTCCGATAGCCATAGCACGGCAGTCAAAGAAGTTTGCTGAAGGACAAGTCTGGTAGATATGCGGTCCTTGATCCTGGAATTATTTTCAGAGCATTGTAACAAATATATATCATACTAATATTATAAGTGCGAAAGTTTGGATGGATGGATGCTTGTTAGAGTTTGTAGCCTCAACGGCTGAACGGATTTCGATGAAATTTGGTAAAGATGTAGAGGATAGTCTGGAAGAACCATAGGTTACCTACTTTTGTTTTTTTTTAATTCTCCGCGGACGGAGTCGCGGGCGAAAGCTAGTACTAATATAATAAAGTACCAATTTAAACATTGCAAATGTTTACAAGGTTTTACACCTATATGGGAATTAAATGAAATCATTGTAACATAACAGTATTAAAAAAAATGTCTTAAATAAACCAAGTAAATTGCAAGTTATTTTAAAAATGAGATTTATCAATAACATTTCAACATTAAGCACAAAAGGGTATTTTAAAATTAAACCATTTATTGATGTCTTGACTTTAAGATCTCTAGAAAGGCACATTAAACAAATATATCGTCGGTTAAATAGTAAAATGCCAGTATTCAAAATGTACCTTTTTTACAAGACAAGCATTTTAAAGTTTTTAAATTTATTTAAATTATTTTTTCCCATAAAGTTTTATGTATATCATTTTTATCCATATAAAAACATTGTTAACAGCATGCTCTTTTTGGTAATAATCTAATTTTCGATACTTTAAAAATTGTCATTTTTTCTTTTTAATCAATGATACAACCAAAATATTACTCCAAAGCCACTTACATCATATCCAGCTACCAGTAAACCCACACCGAGTGGCCGCTTGTCATATCTCTGAGTGCAAATCTGCATTTTGTTCCCTACCAGTGAGATGAGACGCCCAACTGGCATTTGTGCATCATGAGAATACCGATGATTGAGGCATTCTGTCCTCATGAAACGACTGTAATGAAATACGAATAGATAGTTATACTCTTATATATTGACAACAAATTTATATCTCTTGTAGACTTGTAAACCTGTATTTTGTATTTTATTGAAATAACTTCATTAATATTAGTTACTACCTGTTGCTTCCAATCGCATCTTACTCACAGATAAATTATCTTTCTCATGGTAAAATAATTTTTAAAATCGCCCAGTACTTTTCAAGTTATTTAATACATACAAAAATATTAATCTTTTCTCTTCATAACATTAGTATAGATATTGATTGAATAACCATGGAAGTAGTTAGAACTGTAGATTTTAGTTCTATTTTGGTTCTTATTGTCTTACAAATTTGGATTTCATACACAATTGTTTACATAGTTTTGATACCATGTACATCAAGATCTTTACAGAAAATAAATACATTTCATAGGAATGTTTTTGTGTATCCTAAAGTTACTGTTTTCACTCAATAATTTATAAGAATTATAAAGAAGTTATACAAATTGTTGTATTGTTAGTTGAAAACACCTTGGAATGGCAACACTGTGTGAAAGCTGTCAGCACTGCATTTAGATGACAACACCGAATAGGTGCGGGCATAAAAGGTAGAATCCTACTCAGTCTGGTCCACTTCGCCCAAGTTTTTAGAGACAACAATGTCGTTACTCTGCCCGTGTGAGTCATTGCTGTGTTTGTGTTATTACTCTGCCCGGTTGTATACTGCCATATTTTATTCTTAATTTTCCCACTTGTACTAAAATTATTTTTAAAAGTAACCAGTGTTTCATTTATAACAGTATATTTACCTCAGCATACGAGCATCAGCGGTTAAACCAGAAATGGAAATACCAATATGATCATCAATTGGTATAATCTTCTTCTGGTACGCAGACAGTTCACTCACAGCTCGTTTTAATGCTATAAGTACTGCAAACTGTTTATTCTTCAGTCCAACTGTAGCTGAGCCAAGTTTCACTGCCTCCATAGCGTATTCCACTTGATGGAGACGACCTTGCGGGCTCCATACTGTGACGTCACTGTCGTACTGATTGCGGAACTGGAAAAAACAGGAAGCAGTTTAAAAATTCATCCATTACAGAAAGAAAGATGCAGTATACTTTTGTATGACAAAGCAAAGTAGATACCATCTTATACGTCAATAGTTAAATACATTATTAAATCCCAAAATTTCGTTAAACTAATTACAAAACATTATTTTAAAAAAAAAATTAATGGTACTTATAGATTCTTCTTTGGATTTTTCGTAAAACAAAAACTGACAAGTCACCCGGCATCAAAACAGCAGGTCATTCATTCGTCAACTTTTATACAAATAGGTGTTCAGAAGTAGTCAAAAATATCTTAATTTACCTAATGATAAGAATACGTACCATTTTTAGAGTAATAAAATTGAATTTGCGAAAATAGAAGTTAACCACAAATATAAGACGCGAAGCCACAATGACTTTGAAAATGTCAAAATGACAGGGTGAGAGTGAGACAGAGAATCAGTGTTGCCAGTTACTTTGTTATGTTCGGAAAGAAATATAACCGTAATTTTTTTAAATCACTATTGTTTTAAAATTAACAATTTAGTATATATTGTTAAGCAATAGTAAAGTAAAATTAGTAGCTAGTTTTAGTATAAGTGTCCATATTACTGAGTACCCAGTACCATATTCCCCAAGCTTACAATGTAATGCGTTCCGGTCCATTTGTAGTTCAATGGTGGGTTGTGTGTGTCGTGGGACCCGAACCCGCTTGTACGGCACATATCTCTTCCCATAAGTCTGTAATCAAAGAATATGTCAATAAAAAATAAACTATAAATTTTCTTACTTTTACACTGGATTTTCCCTATACAATAACAACCAGAACTTTTCCTGTGAAGTATTTTCCTTACTGGTCAACAACAATGTCAAGGAAGGTATCGAATTTCATATTTGTGACGCGATGTCGGCATTTCATAGAATAACATGTGGGAAACGCCCACGTAAGTTATTGACATTGCGAAACAAGGGTGTAATTTACGAACGTAACCTTAAAAACGCGAACTCCTTTGATTAAATTATTTCACAATTGAGCACAAGATGAGCTTATATGGAGGTAGGCCACTACTCGATTTTTAATTCTGCAACTAAACAGTGTAACGGATTGTGAAACAATCGACAATCACACAACAGTTGTGCGATAGTTTTGTCAATGGTGTACACCCAGCTCTAAATGTAAAGATCATCTGTTTATAAATGCCGTTTTTTAAATTGGTTATTTTGTATTGTGTTCTATTTTTAAAAGGGAACGTATTATACATTTAACAAGAAAAACAAAAGAAAGAAACAGAAAGCTAGCGGCTAATTAATCTAACTTCAATCAAAACTAACGAACAAGTTTTGAATTTGTTTTAAACTACTTTTAAAATTTCAATTTCACTTCCGATCACTGTGATCGTTTGAAATATCGATAACTTTTTTATTCTATGTGAAAAAAGACATATAAGAAAAGGTTTTAATGCATGATTTAGACAATGGGTGTTATCTAACAGTCTTACAAATAAACGCGGCATAAAGTTTAACTTAGAAATAAACTGAGTATAAGCAAATATTAATACTAATTTTATACCTAAGATTAACTTTATATCTTGTTTATTTGTAAGGCTGTAAAACTTTAAATTGTATTTAAATTCATCGCGTTATATAACTTTGGCACGAGAGTGTTTTGTTAAAAATCAACAAAATGCCACTATCGAAAATATCTACAAAACTATATATTTTAATATAGTTGAGTAGTTTCGGAATTTATTGCAGACCAACATCATGACGTTGGAATCTTATATATTAATATGTCGGATTAGTATGTCAACAAAATTAACAATTCTGGATGGTGGCCAGGATTTCTCATCATAACAAATAAGGACAATCATATTTGATGTTAGTAACAGACAAGCTAATACAAACAAGAAATATATAAATCTTGTTAATATATGCTAATCTTACTAATATTATAAATGCGAATTTTTGGATGGATGTTTGTTAGAGTTTGTAGCTTAATCGGCTTAACGGATCTCGATGATATTCGGTAGAGATGAAGAGGTTAGTCTTTAAGAACATATAGGCTTTCTTTTGTCTACGCGAAAGGCGTCGTGGGCGAAAGCTAGTAAGAACATATTTCTAATAGTATATTTTTTTTCAAAACGTCGTTTTGATGTCAAAATAAACGACTAGGAAAGGCATGTGTCCTTTGTGGAAGATGAAGACTGACGATGACACTCTCCTTTAGTCACCTAATTCAAACTATTCTTTCTTCTTTTTCTTAAGGTGCCTATCCGACTAGGGAAAGTTGGCGATCAGTTCTCCAAATTTGACTATCTCTTGCGAGGCGATATATTTGGTCGGCACTCGCAATTCTTGTCCTAATGCAGTTCAATCTGAAAATAATATAAAATGGAATTGAAAACTATAGAAACGTAACAAAATGTTTCCAGTTTCCAGTAACATTTGCATTCAAAATTACTTCAATACTGCTTATTGTTTTATATTTCAGAGGGAATTGCAATAAAAAAAAATAACTTGATTTGGTTTCTGCTGCAACTTTATTTTTCTAGCAAAAGTAACTCTCATCAAATGATATAAAGAGTAAAACCAAGTCCTGATTAGTGTGGATTAAATTTTTTTTTATAAAACTAAACTATTACTTGTTAAGTGTAGTGTGCGTTCGTAAAGTTACTTTTTATCTATACTATTATAGAGAGCAAAGATTTGTATTTTTGTATGTATTGAAATAACTCAAAAACTACTGCGCCTATTTCAAAAATTCTCTCACTATCAAATTCACTATTAAAACTACCAGTCAGCTATCAGTGAGTAACATAGGCTATAGCAAACTATCATGCACAAGGGTATGTATTTTATAACTATTTTTTAATTCCACGCGGACGAAGGCGCGAGTAATATCTAGTCCTTTAATAAACTGACTTCAAGGAACAATGAACGACTGTACAACTGTCAACACAGTGTAATCCTACTCTTAATAGATATGTATTAACATTCAGACAACATCTTCATGGTTGGACGTTGTCGGTACAATACTGTTCAAATCCTAAGACATGTCCACACGAGCGGACAAAGCCGCAATGACAATGCGACACGTCGCACGTCTGAGTCTCACGTAGCACTAACTGAATGGTTACGGATTTGCTTGACTGTTTATTTATATCTCTATTGAGAATTATGTTTGAATCATATGTTGGGGTTTGTACCGCAGAAACAATGTCATCTGCCCTTTATATTGAAATCTGCAGTGTGTACTGTTCTTACATACATCTCTATCAGCTGTTATATCTGAACCCCCTCTTTACACTATTTATACTATAAAAAAATCTGTTATATGCTCGCCAACAACTTTGACTAAACTGTCGCACAACTGTTTTGATTCCTATGAGATTTTATAGAGGTGCACTACTCAATTTTTAGTTGTGCACCTAAACAGTTGAATTTGCTGCGAAACAATCGACAATCGCACAACGGTTATGCGATACTTTTTACACGACATTCATAGAAAAAATAACAATAACAACAGTTTTTTTATTTTTTTACTAGCTTTCGCCCAGGACTCCGTCCACGGGGATTAAAAAAAAACAAATGTAAGTATCCTTTGTGTTCTTCCAGACTATTCTATACATCTATGCCAAATTTCATCCAGATCTGTTCCGCCGTTCAGGCTATAAACTCTAACAAACATCCATCCATCTAAACGTTCGCATTTTTAATATTAGTAAGAAGTAAGATTACTAATGGTTTATTTTTTTAACACAAAACGCAATGAAATTAAATTATTGAATACAATACTGTAAAAAACTACGAATTTTAACCTAGTTTTTTTTTTTCTTTTTATCCATAATTTTAAGTCACCTAAGTTCTAAGTATAGTGGGAATGCCTGATTGAGCGGATTATTCAACCGTCACCCCGCTCTGTCCACACGTGAAGACAGATGAGAATAAAAAGTTTCATCCGTCTCACCTTTTGCGACGAGGGTTCAGTTGGTATTTATTTTATTGCATAACGGTTCCATCTGTCACCTTATTGGTGATAGTGGGACTAAAAGGTGAGACGGGTGAACTTTTTAGTCTCATATGGGGACAGAGCGGGGTGACAGTTGGGAATAATCCGATTGAGTGACAATACTCTCTTATGTTGTACGTTCGATGATATTCCAAAATCCTTTGCCTACTATAATCTTAATTGGGATCTCACTTGAGGCTAAAAGTATTTTGTGTGTTTCTTTGCAGATTATTTTAGAATAATAAATTTTTGGATATAACATGAAATTATATGATAATTAATTTCAGAACGTGTTGTTGTATGACAAAGGAATCACAAAAGATGGAACTTTTATTGAATTTCGTAGAAAATATATTCAAAAATTATGTTTAATATAACGAATATTTTGTTTTGTTTGTTTTAAACATCTCTTTAGCTAGAAGCCGTATATTTATACGCGTTTTATTTTATCATTTAGAATACCGAATATTAATACAAAAGGCTCCGTCATCACATTTAATTTGTAACTTATTTTAACTTGAAACCTTATAATCTTAGGTTGTTGCTCCGAAACGCGACAGATATCTAAATTATTTTGCTTATTACATGTATGTTATTATATCTTGTAATGAAAAACTGGCTCATGCCCGCGACTTCGTCCGCGTGTAATTAAAAAATTCAGTAATGAATCTATTCAATAATAATGTATCTTTGTAACGACGAAAGAATTCTTGTAATCGGTCGAGTAGTCTTTGAATTTACTTTTTACAAACAAAAGTACAAATCTTTCCTTTTTATAAGTAAATAACATAACAATGAATCTGAGTATTAACAGATATATAAATAGTAAATAATATTATGTGCAAACACAGAAGTTAGTACATTCAAATATTTACATTTTAAAATTCTTGTATACAAACATTTTAAACGAAAATTTCAGATATGAATTAAGTAACTCATAGTTATACCATAAATAATTCTTCTGCTAGTTATTTATTTATGTTTTAACGAACGTCATAAGCTCCTTTTTGAAAATACAAAAACTATTTTACATAATTATTCACGACTCGCAGTTGCTCGCGGCTTCGTCGATGCGAAATAAAATAATAAAATCCAAAGTTACTTTCAACAGCTTCCAGTAAAAGTCCTATTATAATCGTTCCAACTGTTTCGGAGATTTTGCGAAACTATAGTGGGCTTCGGACAGACAGGCAAAATAAACATTTTAAGTAACGCTAAAACATCATGTATACGAAATGTGTTTTCTTGTTAGATTTCGCATTTATAATGTTAGTAAGTAGATATTATTTAAATACATGTAAAAGGAACTTTACAACTTTTGTTAAGTTATGTAAAATATCTGAATTAAAATAATTTTTACAATTCTAACATCATTTGTTTACATTCGCAAAATCGTTAACTGTGCGTTTCCACTGCCCTGTCCTTATACAAAAACATATGCCTAGAAAACGTACAAATGTATGCGTATTTTTAAATTGGTTTTGTATAGTAATAAAGCGGGTATATTTAACTAAAATATCACGTAATTATTGTGCGATTGTCGATTGTTTCGAAGTCAATTTAACAGTTTAGTTGCACAATAAAAATCAAATCCTCTTAAGACGTATTTCTTTTATAAAGCAACGTCTCTAATGTAGCGAATTTTACAGGTAATTAGGTATTGTATTGGCACATTGCCATTTGTCGTAGGCTATGCGTTGAAGTACATTACGCCTACGTAAGATGTGGGTATTGTAACAACTAGTCAAACTTTGTAAAATTTGATGTATCAAGATAGAATAATAAGTGAAAATTTATATCTAAATTCAATAAAGAGTCATCTTACTAATCTTATAAATACGAAGACTTAAATGGATGGATATTTGTTAGAGTTTGTAGCCTAAACTGCTAAACAGTACTCTATGAAATTTGGCATAGATTTAGAGGATAGTATGGAAGAACACATAGTCTACTTACTTTTGTTTTTTAATTCCACGCGGACAGATTCGCGGGCGAAAGCTAATAAGAAACAAAATATCTTTTACTATTCCGTATTGTTCGTTTCTTGAATCATAAAAAGAGTTCGCAGAGCCCAAGACAGAGCGAGCTGGCGGCGTACTGTGGACGCCCTCTGCCCCACTTTGGGGACATAGGAATGGAAGAGAGAGAGAGAGAGATTCCGTATTGTTACCTTTTCCTTTATCATTATACTCTAGTATTCCACATTATTTACTTCAACTCTATCTTACACGACACATAGTTGTTAGTTTCACATAAATGTCTAATAAATCAGAACAAATTGTCTACGAGAGTATCAAGTAGTAATATGAGTCCCCGCCGATGGTAAGAAACGTCCAGCAATTACTATGTAATTTTAGTGTACTAACTGTTACTCACAACTTCGTCCTCGTGGAATTTAAAATATAGATTATGTTACTCATTGATAATGTAAAGCAAGAGACTGTATATTCTGGTTTTTAAATAAGTAGTAGGGTTACAGTTCGAAGATATATTGTTAAATATAAATAGTTACAGTTCAAGTTTAAGTAATTAGGTATGTGTGGTCACGCTGTCGAACGGAGCGCAACTGCTGGCGATGCGGTGTGAGGGCGCGCGGGGGACAGACGACGGCTGAAAGGGCACCTTTGCTCCTCATCCCCGCCGGTGTTGCAGTGAGACGCAACAGATAATGTAGTATTTTAATGGTGCAATAATGTTTTAAATCGGTCCAGTAGTTTTTGAGTTATTTTAATACATACAGAAATACAAATTCTCTTTATAACATTAATACGGATTATGCTAGAGCTCAATGTACTTACAAGAAGGTCCGGTTATAATGACAAAGGACCTGTATATAATTCAAAATTAATTGATATATTTATAAGATAACGCACGAATAATATAGGGTAGAAATATCACTCTTCTGTGCGTCCTCTCCTCTGGCAACGATAGGCAAATGCAAATGTTTCTTGTTTGCTACCTTATACTATAAAAAAATGCTGACAAATAATATTCATTAGTACCTAACTATCTTCATTTGACTTCATACGAAATATGTAATTTTCGTTTCGTTGAAGTCTTTTATAAGGCCTGTATTTGATCTATAAGTAAGAAAGGGCACATACCTATGACTAAACTATCGCACAACTGTAGCGATTGTCGATTGTTTTGCAGCCAGTTCAACTTTTTAGTCTTGAAGAATCCTCAGTCGAATCACGGATACAGTCGTCGCAACCGCATCTGGATAAAAGATAATAACAAGAACTTAGAAGAGCGGAGCACAAATTTGACAGAACCATCATACAATTGCGGTGGGATTATCGATTGTCTATTATTTCGCAGTCCATTCAACTGTTTAGTTGCACAACTAAAATTCGAGTAGTGTGTGTACCTCCAAGCTCAGGAATCAAAGACAATGCAATAATTTAGTTTCAGGTTCTACGTTAAAGTTCATGTAACAATTTAATTTGATTGCTGTACTCGATGCAATAAAAACTGTAGTTGAACTTATGTTTCTCGAGGTTTGATTACAATTTGAATGTATAAGTATTTATTCCACCTACGCACATCTTATTGATGGTTTGGGTCACTTTCACCTCTATTTCAATACTTAAAGTATTTGACGAAACTTTTAGGTACACTTGTCAAGAAAAGTGTTTATTGACTGAGACAGTTTGTTTTTAAAAATACTATTTTAAAGTTTGATTGAATTGTGTTTATTAAATTTGAAATAACGCACGTTAAAGTACAAAAGGATTGTAAAAACAGTGCTATGTAAAAATAATTATTGATTTATCTATATCTGTACCAATATTATAAAGAGGACATATTTTTATTTTTGTTATTTTTGTATGTATGGAAATAACTGAAAACTTCTTACACCACAAATAAGCGCCATTATTTTTGAGTAACAAGCGAGCGATGTCGCGAGCAACAACTAGTAACCATAAAACAATATTAATGGAAATAATTAACACAATGTTCTCAATCTAAAATCCATTCTCTTGTTTTGACCCTTATGTATATTTAAGTAAGAAATATATTCACTTGATGTCTATAACATCCCTTAAGATAGCTTGATTACAATAACTTATGCGTGTAACAGTACTCCCATCCCACGTCCGATGGTTTTTGGTCGACGGCCAAGTGACGTCACCATGGTTCGCACATAAAACGCCGTGCTACAGCGCTACGAACACCAAATCCGTTGTGCGCTCGCTACGCCGTAGACGGTTCTACGGGAACGCGCAACTTGGAACGTGCTTTGTGAAAAATTCCGATTAAGTAACGGGTAAGTTAATTTTATTATTTTATAAGCAAAATTTATAAAATACATTTTCTTAAATACCGATTTATTTGATATTTTTTAAAAGTTAATCTATAGATACTTATAATATAAAGAGGTAAGATTTGTAATTTTGTATGTATTAAAATTATTTCACCGTTAGAAAGGTATTTTATCTGTTAGTAACATAGGCTATATATTCAGAAATAGCTAATGATCGATAAAATAAAATTTAAATACAGATATTTTACGTAAAGACAATATCAAATATTTAAAATTTTAAAACTGTTCTCTGTAAGTCCAACATGTGTACTAACTAAAAAAAATAAGGTATTAAATATAGAAGTCGGATAGTTCCTATAATTACTTATAATCTTATAAACTTGCAATCTCCACTAATATCATAACGAGGAAAGATTTGTATTTTTGTATGTATTGAAATAACTCAAACTACTGCTCCGATTTCAAAAATTATTTCACCATATGAAAGGTAATTTATCTGTGAGTAACATAGGCTATATCTTTCATTATTATTTTTTAATTTAATAATCCATAACAGGCTGCAAAAATAAGACACTCTAAATTTTATAGCAACAAACGCTCTAACTCATCAGTATGCTACGAACTTTAAAATTCTCAGTTTCCGAAGTATATTCAAGTTTTATTACACTTAAGTACTTCAATAAAAATGTTTAACTCAGATCGGAATATTCTTCGAATGTCTTATGAAAACTTTATGACCTATAATTAAATTTATAACATATATCAGAGGGACTATAATCCGAATTACTCGAAACAGAACACTCAAAGTTTTAACATCCTAATAAAAGCTCTTGAGAAAGCATATTTGTGCTTTCTCAAGCAACAACATTTAAGTAAATGCTAATTCGAACAAAATACATTATTGTAGGTAGCTTACTAATATTATAAAAGGGAAAAAATTTAACGGATGCTCGCAACTTCGTCACCGTGAAATCAAAAACTCACAGATAAATTATTATTTGACAGTGGTAGTGCCCGCTTTAACATCTTAGCATGAATGGGCCGGCACGCCC